CTCCTTTTATGCTTTTGTCCCCAGGCATTGCAGGAGAGGTACAAGTGCTGGGAGACAAAGGTTGTCTCTTCCCTATGGGTTTTGTCTAGAGTTCAGTGCAAAGAGCTCTTATCTTTCCCTACAGCCCTTCCAGCTACCACTTTAGGCTTAACTATCATGAATGTTTCAGAGCCCAGATTCCAAGGGGATCTCTGATCTTCCAAACAGCCCTACACAGCATGCCTCAATCGCTATATCCAAGAATAGCAAAGAATGGCCTCTCAACAGCCCAGAAGCTAAAGGCACATCTCCCTCTGCTAGGCTTCAAAGAAAAAAATGCCATGAGCCCAAAGCTGGCTACCAACAATTTTGAATCCAGCTGTCATTAAGGTTGGAAAGGACCTCTAAGATCATTCTAGTCCAATCATTAACCTGTCATCACCACGCCTACTAACCGTGAGACTCAGTGCCAAATCTGCCCTTTTCTTTAATGCTTCCAGGGATGATGACTCCACCACTTCCCTGGGCAGCCTGTTCCAATGCATTACTGCTCTCGAGAATAACTTTTTCCTAATATCAAACCTGAACCTCTGCTAACATGTTTCCTAACAAAGGGGAAAGATTCTTGAGTGTTTCAAGTGGGCTTCCCATGGATTCTGCTAAAGTGTGCATGGAAAACCCCGATCCACACACTTGCCACAACTCCTTTTACTAAGCACCAGTTTGTGAGTTATGAAGAGGGGGGATTTTTCTCTTTCTGTATTGGTGATGGAGCAAGAATAAGGGAAGGACACAGACTCCACCTGATCCCCTGTGCAATTCCATTTACCTTCTGATCCTGCTGTGTTTCCAACCCTTGTGCACAGAGTCAGAGCTGGGAATAGGATGAAGAGTCAGGTGTTCCTTCTGGTCCCTCTCACCCCCACCAAGTCTGTGTAGCTACAAGTTGTTCCCACCAAATAGCTGCTTCTCTCCCCCATTCTCATGTTAGTAAATGTTAGGGCAGGTGCTGTCATCCATCTGGCAGGAGCTTGGCACCTGTTAGACCCTGTTCTGCTCCATTATACTCTGCAGCAGGGCTGGGACAGAAGCCAGTGTTTTGTTCCTTGTCCTTTGACAATGTTCCCACACTGCTGTCCAAGGCTTTTCTTCCAGGGGAAAGGAACACACGTCTCACTCGTTAATGGTAAGGAAGCATGATGGGGTTAGCTGGGCCCCTTTGAAATGAAGGACATTCCTACACATTTTTAAGGAGTTTCAGTGTCTGCAGATTTTACCTAACCCAAATGCTATGTGGAGCTTTCTTGGCAACTGCCCTCTGTGAAAGGTGACTCCTTTCTACCCTTGGACCATCTGTGGGAATCAAACCAGTTCTCTGAGTCTTCAGTTCTGCATCTGATTCATAGCATCTCACAACAGCCATTTAGGCTGTAGTGAATTAAGAATCTTGTGTTCAGAGCTTGTGTTCAGCACATACCATAGGGATATACATGAGTGTTTTCCAGGGATTATTAAGGGCTCCGGGTATTCTGGGACAGATTAATTAGAGGGAAGAGCTGTTGTGGAGGGTAAAAGGAATGTTGACTCTCTTCCATGCAATTGACTTTTCCTGCTGTGATAACGGATTCACTCACATGGCAGGGAACAGACCACATCTATTGTTGCCTCTTCATCAACCCTGCATCTACATGAGCTGGGCAACCTTTCCTGCAAGCAGACTTGTGAAGATATGCTAAAGTTTGTGATCTTGGCCATTTCCTTGGCCACCTTCCTTTCTGATTCTTCTGCTGCCTGACAGAAGAGCAAGACAGTGGACAAACATTTCAGGAACATTTGTGTTGGTGGGAAAATCAGAAAATGTTCAATGGAGGTTGTGTATGGGCATGTGAGTTCATGTTCTTTGAAGTAGCTAATTAAAAGAGGATTCCCAGATAGATTAGATCCCATACTTCTTGGGCTCTCCGTATAGTGAGGATCCTATACTTCACTGTCCTTCATGACCACAGGTGAGGGCTCCTCAACTTCTGGAGCTCTGATTCTGCCAGGGCTGGGTCCAGGACCTTCTTGGGTAGAAGGTTCTCCTTCACCACTGGAGAATGAATTTCTAAGGATCTGTTCAGTAAAATAGAGAGTAAATTCAACTTGACAAAAATAGGCATGTTCAGATACAAGTCTTGTTTGGGTCCTTACAGAGTTGGTCAACAGAAATATCTTGAGAGCTGATCCTGCCCATCTTGGCAGTTCAAAAATTCATTATACTGAGCCCAGTCTCAATCTTGAAGGGTAATTTGGCTCTGCTTTTTGAATATGACTGGAAAAGAATTCCCTTCTCCTGATAAAAACAGAGAAGATACCTCCCAGGGTGATGAATGGTATCAACCTTGTGATCCCCTCTTCCAGAGCTGCCTAGCCTCCTGCTTTGATATTCTGTGCTTTTAAATGGAGCCCCCCACATCTAATGTTAATGGATTAGGAGGAATTATTATGGGCCAGCAGCAGCTTTCCTGTCCTCACTATTATTCCTTCTCCAACATGTTCATTTTAGCTGGTAAGTGCCGTCTTCCACTTACAACCACAAGACACCCACTGCAATATTTAATATTGTTGCATATTCAGCCAGCAAGCTTGAAAATTTTCCACTTATTAAAGCTTTCCTTTTTTTTTTTTCCTACCTTCCTTCTCCCCTTGGGAGCATCATAAAATCTGAAAAGAGAGACGATAGAAACTTCATCGGCTACAATTGCAACTCCTCCTGAAGTCAAGTGTGGGAACCGTGTCTGGAACAAAGTGTGGCCCAGAACCCGGATGTGCCTTCTCCACCTTAACAGCAGCATTTGCTTCCCAATATGGCATGTTCTGCTGTATCTCAGGCACAACTTGAAACTTTGCAGCTGTTGCCACTGTAAGTCTAGCTCTAAATTCGGCAAGGAGAGAGAGGCTGAGATAGTGGGGGAGTGCAGGCCACTCATTATCCCATGCACAAGGGATGGGAATAAAGCTCACATGCATTACACAGAAGAACAAATACAAACTAGTCCTCGTATAAGAATGACCAGGCACATGGACAGAGTATAGGTATCAATAACTCATTCTGGAGAAAGGTCTCCTTTCTTTTTACAGTCTTGTATTTGTACATCCAGAGAGCTCATCCTTAAGCATAACAGTTTTGTTAGCAGATTGGGGAAAACATAAATGTTTGTCACCACAGACAATAAGAACAATAGGGTCAAACAAACAAGTGGGTTCTTTTTCATTCTTCCCCATGATAAATCCCCAAGAATGAAGGAAGTGAAAGCAAGTTTATTATCTAGAGATGACTCATGGAGGCCTTACAATCACACTCCCTTTCCAAATCATAAGAAAGTGAAAAGCAGATGAGATCCAAGGCACGTGGCTGAGCTGGAGGATAGTTGTGAAAGGCTGGATGTCTGGATCAGTGTGCACAGATGATCAAGCAGGATGTTCCTGAAACTGAAGGAAGAATCTGCTGCTCGTTGTGAGGAAACTCAAAATAGGAAATCAATAAAATATCCTGACAAAAAAGATCAGCTCAGCTTTTCTGGGAAAGATTCAAGGGTGAAAAACTAATTCCAGAAAATGAGGTCAACTTTCTCTAATATCCATAGCTACTGTTTGTGCTCCAGTGAGACACGTGTGGAGTCTACCTCTCCTCTATTTATGGATTTGGCCTCTTGACCTGGAATTCGATGCCTCTCAGTTGATCCTGTTGTGTTGTTATGGGCCATATCCTGCATGTTTATTGTGTTGGCATCAGTGTTGTCTTTATCTAAATTAGCAAGGAAAAAAAACAGTTCAGAGCTGACACTAAAATCCTATCCATTCTCCCTGTCCTCTTAAATAACTAAATTTGCAATAATGTCTCTATTTTTTTCTGTCCTTTTTCCCAGGAGGGATCTCCAAATCTACTGCAAAGCTTCCTGGAAATAACATCTATGTAGGCCCCCTTAGATCCCTACCCCACCAAATATGGCTTTTTTGGTATCCTATTTAGACAGAAAAGCACCATCTCATAAGAGGGACTTTGGGGGCTTTAAGAGATCTGAGTCCTTACAGTACTGGTCAACAGGGACATCTTTAAAGAAGGTCCTTTACCTCGAGCCCATCTCAGCATAGTGATACTTTGCTATACTGTGCCTGGTTTCATACAATCACAGAATGTCTGAGGTGAAAGGGATCCATAAGGATCATTGAGTCCAACTCCCGTCTCCATACTGCAGCCAGGGGTGTAAAAACACACAACTCTCTCCTATGATAACTACAATGATTCTACCACTAGTATGGAAGGGAAGGATGAGGATGGAGGAATGTGTTGGGGGTCTTCGTGGTGGAACCTCAACTCATCTACACTCAGCGGCTTCAATGTAGTCCATGGGCAGAGATGATCAACATCTCTTTGTAGACTGGAGCCAGTAGTCATCAAAATATGTAAGGTCACACTTCATCTCCCCCTGCCAGGTCCTTTGTCATTGTCTGGACAGCTTGGTCCAAAGTGGCATTTGATTCTTTCTGAAAATACTGGGGACTTCTGTCCAATCCCAGATCATATAGAGAAGATGAAAAGAGAAGTATTTTTCTCCTGTGACACTGCTGTGGCCTTGAGCTGATAGTGTTCTCAGTAAGAAGATTTAATTCCCACAGGGACATAGGAAAATAGACCTGGGGAGGGGGCAGGTGGTGCAGCAACACCAATATTAGTTCAGTAGAGATGTTCACTGTGAGCAAGGCTGGAGCTCCCTTTAGTGTTTCCAACACTTCATAAATTTCAGAGAGATTTCAGGGCAAGGAGCCAGATGTTTCAGGAGAAATTCTGAACGCTAAAGACAAGTGGAAATTTTTTTTTTTTTTTTTGGAGTGTGTATTTTTTCCCATTAGTTGCAAAGCTATATTTAGAAGAGAAGGGGGGAGAGAGAGAGAGAGAGAGAGAGAGAGAGAGAGAGAGATAAGGCATTTCTTCATATTCTGTAGTTACTCCAGTTCTGCTTGTAGGAACAGATGTCTCTTTCCTGGGGCGACAGCATTCAGGTCCACAAGGAAACTTTCTTACCAGCAGCTCTTCAAACATAGAAGGGAGATCCGGCCAGAGGTAAGTCAGTCCTGGTGGAGGAATATATCAGAAGGATTGCAGCAGCAGATGCTTTGGGACAGTGGTCAAAGTGGTACAGGGGAGCATGATGTGGAAGAGGTAACAGTAAGGGGACAGGAGGGAGTCACTGAAGACCTGAGCCCAAACTTAGAATGGAAAGCATGGCTATCATGGAGCCCTGGAAGGTGGAATGGCACCTTGTCGAACACATGGAAGATGTCCATGGTTCTGTACTTGCTGCAGGTGTGGAAGTTCACCAGGAGGTGCCCATTGGGACAGCAGGGCTGCAAGGAGGTTTCTGCATTGTGAGTTTTTCTGTTCTGGGGTTTGAGGGCAGTGCAATGCTATTTGTTTGTTCCCCAAGGAGATGGGGGTGATGAAAGATGTGTGAAGATGCTGACTTTCCCCCGGTGAAAAATACTATGCCAGCTCTTGTGAGGAGTGGGGTGATTTCTTGTTTGAGTATGTATTCTTTGACATGGTTTAGTGGACATAGTGGTGATGAGTTGACAGTTGGACTAGATGATCTTAGTGGTCTTTTTCAACCTCAGTGATTCTGATTCTATGATTCTATAATGACCTGTATGCAGGCTTCTGAAGCCAGAAAAGGAGATAGTGTATTGCTGGGAACAAGGTTGCCAGGGCTGGGGTTGTTTTATCTCTGGCTGTGCTGATTCTCATCCTAAGGAAAAGCAGATTCTCTCCAAGATCCTTAACAACACCTCTTAAGAAATGCTTTAATAGTAATACACCTGCTAACACCTCAACTTTTTCCAGGTTAATCTGTTTAATCCAAAACTTGCAAATCCCCAAAGGCACAGGGGGTTTCTGTCTGCACAGTGCAGTGACTCAAGTGCCTAACATGGGAAACCATAGCAACCAGCCTCCAAAAGGGTTAAGATCTGGTAATCTACCCTGGGATGCCTCCCTGCTCAATCCCCCTGGTTCCCACCTGCATTTGTATCACCTCCATTACCAGTGCTCTCTGGGGATTGAGCCTGGCTTTCTTGTGTTCTGGACCATACAGAGTCCCAGGTACTGCCTGACAGCAAAACTTCACCGCTGCTCTTCCCACACTGTCCTGCTCAGGCTTCTTGGCAAGGGATGGAGCCAGCAGACAGCTAAAAGCAGAAAGAGGGAAACGTGCTCACAGACAACTAAATTTGCAATTAAGAATTTCCTTTTCAAAAAGCAAGCAGCAACACACAGGCCTAATGTTGCTCGGTTTTAACTCCTGCAATGCTTTTGCACTTGTCTGTGAAGTTTTTCTCTGTGCCAATGTAGTAATTCTCACTGCAGGGTTCTCCTCGTGCACAGCCACAGTCATTTTTATTCCAAACTGACATTTCTAGCACTGCGCCCCAGGCACCTTTGAAAGGCTAGATGGATTACTGTAATCCCCAAAAACTCAAATACATTTCTCTTGTAATGTTACAACCTCCCAAGAAGACAGGCACAATTCCATTTCTACTGGCTAGCCCTACGAAACTCCAATTCCACGAGTTTCTTTCCACATTTAGCTTTGAACCACTAAAAACCACTAGTAATTTTTTTTTTTTTTTCCAAAAAGAATGCTCTTTCCCTTCATATTACACCGATCCACAAAGGAGAGAGAGGGATACAAGAAGAAAGTCATGCTCTGATTTCTCTTAGAGTCTAATGTGGAGACGTAGATGACAGATGGCACTTGGTACTAGTCCTGGCAGGCTATGAGATCACAGAATTATAGAATGGCCTGGGTTGAAAAGGACCACAATGATCATCTAGTTCAAACACCCTAGCTATGTGCAGGGTTGCCAACCACCAGACCAGGCTGCCCAGAGCCTTGAAATGCTAACATGATTTGTAGAGAATTCACCAGTACATTTAGGAATTCCATCACTCCAAGGCCAGGATCTGGTAGAGTAGAAAAGCAAGACACGGAAAATGCTACAGAATCTATAAGTCATTGTAGACATCTAAATGTTTCAGGAGGGACTTTATAACACAGTGAGACAGAAACAAGCAAGTGGAGGTGTAAATCCTCTATTAGCATTCCTAAGGTGATCCATACAAGCAAGCTTCATCTAAATGTGCTGAAGGACCTCTGGGTGCCCACTGTGAATGGTGCACATTAGTGGGTGCAGAGAGGCAGACATATGACCTGCAACCTGTGCATACAATCCCACGTCTTTGTTCACTTTATACATACATCTAGGCTCTTTCTTTTAAAGACTGTGGCATTACTGTGCAAAGGGACATAGAGGAGTTTTAAGCTCTGAAGAAATCTGCCAGCACATTAATTGCTTGCTCTGTGTACCTTTGGGAGCTTCGTCCCATATTTTTCATGCATGCTCAGGACAGGGTTGAAAGACGACCATGCAGCAGTTTTTGGATTTAAAATAGATTGTCTCTGGGGTGTCATGGACTGGTGATCCATCAGCTGGTGTTAAACAGCCAACTTAAGCCCAAATGCAGAGAGCAGACCAGTTCAAACCAGGCAAAATCCCTCCCGGTCATTTTGCTCCATGAAGAAGAGGAATGCAGTTTGGAGGGTTACATTCCCCTTCTTCTAAGTGGAAGGGATCTTTCATGGACTTGGATGACCTGTTGGACTAAATTATTGCATAGCCACCCACAGGCTATTACTCATCCCCAGCCAAACCTGGAAGTTGGATTCTTTGTGCACAGAGGACCTGATTTTGACATTGGGTTTCCTAGAGAGCATGGAGTACACCTGTGTGCACACAGCATTCAACTATGAACAAGGTGGGGTAGAAATCAAATTACAACTCATGGCAACACCCAAAGCAGTGTCTTGGGATGGAGAACCACATGTAGCCTCACTGGCACCATCAGACAGGAGGAAAATGGTTTAAAAGCAACATCAACCCTCAAACCAACATTGCATTTATCCCCCCAGTACACATCCTTAGGCTGTGATTGCTTCCATGGCCTGAAGGACAGCATCCGGCCATTCCTTGGGACTGGACATTTAAGTTTTTCCTTTGCCCAGATGGGATATCTGATTCTCAAACAAAACTAGAAAAATGTAAAAGTTTGGGTTGGTGGGTGTTAATCCCTCTTGCTGGCATGAGAGGAGTATTTACACCTTCCTCTAGGCTCCAGGCAAAGGCATGAATTTAGCTCATGGTTCTTCTAACCATGGGACAAGGTGGGACATGCTGACCATCATGGTCTTCAGGCAATCAGTTACCATCTATCCCCAGCTAGGCTGGTTCTGCCAGAAGTAACATATTATTTGGTATAAATCTGAAATTATTTAATGTTAGGCAAATAATGAAGAGAGCCAAGTTCTTTCTTTGAAAAGAAGACATCCAACATGTTTGCAGTGTTGCAATGCATTGGGACTGTGTAGGGAAGATCTAAATAAAAAAATGCGTTGAGGAAAGTTTTAGTAAACTTTTTGGAGGTTCATAATAGAGGAAACAAGGATAATCTGGGCTTGTTCAGTACTTATCTGTGTGTTTGTCAGCTCTGGCTTCCTGTGGCTTCCCAATGTTTTCCAATTTCTTGGCTAATTTATACCAAAAACTGGCAGAAGGAAAAGATCACCTTAATTTTCAGGAAATTAGGCAGAAATGAAGGATAAATCCAAACAAGTTCTGGAGCCAAGGAAAGAGTTGGAACATAAGTCCTCATTAATACAACCAGATGTCCACGTGGGGATAAGCTATTAATAACCATCTAAACCAGGGTAAAACATTGATCCAATGTTTTGATCAAGACACTGAATCATAAAAAGCCAGGTGTCATTTTGTCTGGCACCCACCATGTCAGATCTGTGTTTTGAGTATCCAAAACATCTGTTTGTTCCACTGCACTGCAGGAGAAGGAATAATCCTACCCTGGACTGAATCTGACAGTTTTCAACTGCAGTTCCCCCCAGTCAGGTGTTTCACACACTTTGTCTAGCCACCCTTAGTCCTGGAAGCTTCTAGCAGACATCATGTCCTGGAATCAAATGAGAGCATGAAGGTGTTCCAAGGGGTGGAGCGCCTCTACTGTGAAGATAGGCTGAAGGAACTGGGCTTGTTCAGCCTGTAATAGAGAAGTCTGCAGGGAGACCTCATCTAGCCTTCCAATATTTAAAGGGAATTTACAAACTTGAGATAAATCAACTTCTTACACAGCTAGATAGTGATAGGACAAGGGGGAATGGTTTTAAAGTAAAGGAGGAGATGGTTTTAAAGTAAAGGAGGAGATGTGGATTAGATGTTAGGGGGAAATTTTTACTGAGACAGTGGTGAGGTGCTGGTACAGTTTGCCCAGAGGGGCTGTGGATGCTCTGTCCCTGGAGGTGTTTAAGGCCAGGTTGGATGGGGCCCTGCACAACCTGATATAGTACTTGATCTAGTGATTGGGAAATCTGCCTTCGACAGAGGGGTTGGAACCTGATGGCCCTTGAGGTCCCTTCCAACCCAAGCCATTCTACAATTCTGTGTTGCCCTCAAATATAGGGTCTTCCCTACCCTGGGAATAGCCCCATTTCTGCTTTGCAGTGGCATAATTCTCCACCCATACATAGCTCCCTTCTTACAGATGGGGGCTAGATGGGAACCTAACCCCTCTATCAGCTGGATTTGTTCCCTTTCTCTCCCTTTCTCTTTCTCAGTTCCCACGATCAGCAAACCCACCCTCCCCAGGCTGACAGAATGAGCTCTACTACATATAGGGCCAGTCCTCAACATGTAGAAAAACACCATATTTGGCCAGTTTGAGCCAGAGTTGAGCGAGAGCTTGCCAGGAGAATCATACAATTTAAACCGAAAGAGAGTGAGTTTAACCCTTCATTTATAAACAGGATGATAAATCACCTATGGAACTTTAAACACGGAGAGACTGCAAAACTAAACACAAGCTGCCTCCATGCCAGGCAGCAGAGCAAGGTTAGCAGACAGGACAGGGTGAGGGGGACAGGGAGATGAGAGAGGAGCCAGTTTGTCAGGTCAGATGTTCAGATTCAGGACAGGGAGATGAGAAAAGTTGAAGCTGTTTATACTAAATAACACTTATGAATGTCCTTTTCATCTTCCCCATCCCAGTGCCTGTCTCTTTTGTTCTCCTTCTGTGTGCAGAGATCCTATCAGTACGCACAATAAATAAACCTTTTGGAGAGTGCTCAGGACAAAGCTCAGTTGCCTGATCTGGCTTTTCTTTTCTATCCCATTACTCGAATTGCTGAGCTCAACCCAAAAGTACCATGGGTCAAGGAAGAAACTCCAGCTGACTTCAGCAAGCAGAGGGTGAAGCATAAGGCTAATACAGAGCTAAAAGTTGGGTGGAATGAAATACGAGATGGCCAAGGATATCCTCTAGGGGCAAGACGTAGCACTGAGTTGCCCATGCTAAAAGAACAAGTGGGATTCCAAGCATCAAAAGAAGAGATCGCAGGCCCTGGTTTCAGCACAGTGACCATCTGTTTCCTATTTGGCCCAAGAACGATGGAATTGGTTGTGTCATGCAATGATAAGAAAGCATTTCAGAGCAAGTCCCTGTCTCCCAGTGCTGAGCAGGAACCTTTATCAAAACGAGGGAAACCAGCTCAAACTCCAGTCGCCCTCCCTCCCTATATCCCACTTCTACCCAGATGCCTGCTGTACTTTTAAGGAAATGCTACCCACAGCCTCTGAGCCAGACAGACAAAACCCAGCCTGAGAGGTATAGTATAACAGCATAGGTCAACTGGAGCATTCATACGGCGCTCAGAAGGGTGCATGTTTACCAATCACAGATTTTGCACACTACCAGCTCCGTAAAACAGCATTTCCATTGAAATCTGGGGAAATGAGGAGTGAATTAGGCATGAAGAAAGCCCAGCTCCAATTCCCCTAGAGATTTTAGTCAGAGGGGTAGCACAAGGGCTGTTAATTCTGCAAGAAAAGGTGACTAGTTCATGAGCTCATGCTACAGCTGCAAGCCATAAATAGTGAGACCATAGCAAAACAGAGGTTTTCAGAGGCTGCAAAGCTTCTCACGACCTTCACTGACTGCTCCATGGTTATGCATAGCTGAACTGACTCACTTTAACACCTGCATTAGTATTTCTGATAACAGAGAGAGACCTAGTTGGGGTAATTTTTGGACTCAGAAATGAGGGGAGGGAGGCAAAATTGGAAGGCTTTGGGAATGTTTGTCTCTCCTCGCACACGAGGTCAGCGTGCCTTTCTGTGCCTTGTTTAGCCTGCTGCAAAATGGGGCCATGTACCTTTGTCAAGTGCTTGGAGACCCATAATGGAAAAATACTTAGTAGCTGTTAACCAAGGGTTTGGTCTAGCTCCATCTCATTAAAAGCACTCAGAGGAATGTTGTTGCTTTGCCAGTCCAGCTCTCCATGCTTTCTGCTTGTGAGCCATGTAATAGGAGCAGTCCCACAAACTAAAAGGCCATTTACCCAAACATTCATCAGAAACAATCTGATGAGAGGAAGACTTTTCCCCCTACAGCCCCAGAACAGTTTTACCATAGCTTGTATGAAAATCTTCAGAATTACTTAAATTTGTCAGCATTTCTTTCACGTTGTTGCTTGTGTTGTGAGCCCAAACAGGGCAGCAGTAGAGTAGGAAGAGACACCAGCTCTAACATAGATCCTCCATTACAGTGATAAAGTGCTGCCCATTATTTGTTGGGTGATTGTAGTATTTGGAGTTTATTTCATTGCACATGAGATTCGGGGGAAGAGGGAACTTTTAAACCAGCAGACTATACGACTATATATAATCCTATATGACAAGGATTGGACAGCGATCACAGGTGATACTTTCCTACTAGTCTAAAATGCTCTGCATACCTCACAAGTATTATGAGGATGAGACGCATTTGAATGCAGTTCAAGTTACTTGGAATAGCAAAGATAAATATCAGGTGTTCCTGATAACAGATCTGAGAGTGAAGAAATACTTTCTGTAAGAGGCAAGCTACCAAGAAGACATAAAATCAGAGAAAAATGCCAATGCCTTACTATTACAATGGGATGAAGTGCCCTATAGACCACACGAGTTAAAAACCTCAAGGGTCTGCTAAGGGATGAGATAGCGATTTTTAATTCTCCCCTTGCTCACCTCTGTCTGTATGAACACAGATATACAAGCTCATGCCACATTCAAGAAGCAAAAATGTCTGTATTTCCTGGTTTGCACAGTGCAGTGCCTTCCACGGTGCTCCCCTTGACGTCATCTGCAAATGGAAACTTGGGAGCAGATCCAGGCATCTGCTCATTTCAGTTTGTTTTTGTAATTAAAGAGCCACACAAACAAACAGAGTAGATCAACTAGTGAGAATATTAGAAAATCATTTTAAAGTGATGCTAGCATTCTGCATCTTTCCCATGGGTGTTCCGCAGATGCCACACTTTGCAACTCCACTACCTTCAGTCAGCCTTGGGTCCCATTTTTCCTATTATTCCCTAACAGCATCCTTGGCACAAAATGTGAGACTTTCCCTGAGGAGTAGGCAGGGAAATACCATACAGATAAACCACAGTTGGGCTATGGCATCCCGTGAGGACTCTTGATCTTAAGGGTTGACAATTTATCAAACTTTAAAACCTTCTCCAAGCTGAGAAGGAGCAGAAGAGCACCCATTGTTTGGCAACTCAGTCCTGTACAGAAGCCTGTTTAGCAATATCCTATGACCCTATCACCAACACAGGCTCAGAACTGCTCTGCTGGAAAAGACCTGGGCATCCTTGGCTGTGAGAAAAGCTATCAAGTATTGTGTTTTTATTGCAAACAAAGGGAAGCGAAGACAGGCTGAGAGACCTGGGACTGTTCAGCCTGAAGAAAAGAAAACTGAGTAGGGATCTCATCAATGAAATATATTCAAAGGGCAGGATGGATGCAGCCAGATTCTTTCCAGTGGTGCCCAGTAACAGAAAACAGGGCACAAACTGGAACATAAGAAGTTCCACATGAAAATGAGGAAAAAACTTCGTGCAAGTGCTGGAAGATGTGTTTGCAGCTCCTTGTCTACCAGCCCTTTTGCACTTGGCTCTTTGGTAGCAAGGATTTCAAACCCTCATAACTCAAATCTTTCAGCATTAGTCTCTGCTGATTCAAGCTGATTTTTTTAACCTCACAGTCCTGTTCAGCTTCTTTTGAGATATTCCAGACATTTTTCAACCATTTATTTTTATTGAAACCAGCCAAGTCTCTGTATATATTGAGCTTTTTTTTTTCTTTTTTTTTTTTTTATCTTCTAATATACAAATCAGTTTAAAATAGTGTGTAGGTCAGGAATGATTTGCAAATTAAACTGTCAAATCCTGGCAGGAGTAGTGGCTGACACCCTTAGTTGAAATCTCCCAGCTGCTGTTGCTGTGAGTACAGATACCTAGAAAATGCCACACAATTTGCATGTGTTTTCCTGGAAAAAGCCATCCTTTGATTTTAGGAAAGCTTCACAATTCCTGAAAATGCTGCTGTGCACAGCTCTCTATGGGATCACCTGGCCAAGGGAAGGGATGCAGTATTCTAGGAGTGAGATGATGGGGCTGTGGTTCTACCAATGACCATTTTCCATGTGGCTGACCCAAGCATGACCCACACACCTCGATTTTCCCTTCTCCTCTCTGCTCCCTTTGGCATAGCTTACTTCTTTGTCCTTGCACAGTTCTTAAAATCACTTTTAAACAGGAGCAACTTGAGGTGCAGATTGTACATTACCTCCAAAACTCCCATCTGGAACCACCGAACTAGAATTGTTATAAAAGCAGATATTTTCCTAGCAGTGAGGGACAATCCCAGCCTGCCACTTCATATATTGACAGTTAAGATGCCTATCGAGTACAGCAGTACATATAACTACTGAGGCTGTGCAAATACATTGGTTAAAATGTTCTTATATGACAATATTCTGAGCTCTGCAGTGTGACATACACATCAGTATATCCCTGTATCTTTTCTTCCAGATTGCTGGAAAGCCAATGACCATGCCGACATCCTCCACCCAAGTGTCAGATCTTGACCATACCAACTCTACCCAGCAACCCAACTCCAGCATCTACATGTTCTCCAAGTTCATCCACCCTGACAGAGAATTGTACAAACAATTTTACAGCCTATGGATTGCCCTGATAGTTGTCAATGCTATTATCTTCTTGGTGGGTGTTGTGCTGAACAGCTTGGCATTATATGTGTTCTGCTTCCGTACTAAGACAAAAACCACCTCTGTTATTTACACCATCAACTTGATTGTTACCGATCTCTTGGTAGGCTTCTCCTTACCCATACGGATCATCATGTTCTATACTGCAGAGGACTGCCTGAATTGCTCCTTTGTTCATATCTTTGGCTACTTTGTCAACATGTACTGTAGCATCCTCTTCTTGACGTGCATCTGTGTTGACCGCTACCTGGCTATCGTACAGGTGCAAGCCTCACGAAAATGGAGGAATCCCACCTGTGCCAAGGGGATCTGTGTCTTCATTTGGATCTTTGCAACTGTAGTGACTTTCTCCATCCTCATCATGGCAATACAGTTTGCCCAGTGCTGCATCTCTGAGATTCTGGTCCTGATGGTCTGCGAGTACTTCTTCCCCCTCATCATAATCATCTTCTTCACCACCAGGATTATGTGTGCTCTGTCCAAGCCCAGCCTCATGCACCAGAGTCGGGAGAGGAGAATGAAGGCTGTGCAGCTCCTTGTCACCGTCCTCATCATCTTCATGATCTGCTTCACTCCTTTCCACGTGCAACAGGTAGCGATCTCCATCAATCCAGACATGTCCCACAATGTCAACGTTCTTGTCTACCATGTGACAGTGACTCTGAGTAGTCTCAACAGCTGCATGGACCCTATTGTCTACTGCTTTGTCACCAACAACTTCCAGTCAACCATGAAAAATATCTTCAGGAAAACCGAACCAGAGCAAACTACTGTGGACATCCTGGGTATGAACAAGAACACCAAGGGTTCCAATGCAATCATCACCTTCTCAAACACAATAGGAGGCCCTGTGAGCTTGCCGTCTCCAAGCAGTGTCCAGATCTAACCCACTTCTGATGGGACGTGCTGCAGTAAACCAGTGTGATGATGCTGGAACCTTGGTAGGGTGCATGGGTACCATTGTCTGACATCTTTGTTCTTTAGGGAGACTTTCAGAATGACAGTGGTGGAATTTATTCCTCAAAAACATTGTGGTCTGTTTGGAAAATTGAACTTACAGTGCTTTTATTACCAATACAAAAGAAGGTTTATTAATTACTGTTGCCCACAGGAATGTTTTCTTTGTATTTTAATACAGACATTTTGCTAACAACAAATTCCATATTGTGGTTTTCTTTTCCTCTTTGACTTTGTAATGCAACACTACTATGATGACTTAGAAAGCAGTAAATCCCTCTGTTTTCTATGAAAGCTTTCAGGCCTTGGATGTGTACTTAAGAGTAAAGAATAAGAGTCATGTTTCCAGGGATACCCACGACTTAAGATGCCAAAGGGATGAGACAGAAAGTATTGTAACACGTATCACCAGCATCCACTCTGTTGTTTCTGAAAAGGTTGGAGCTTTTACAGGGTAGAGATTGTGAAGTCAAGCAGTACTATCTCCTCTCTCTATTTAAGCATAAGAGAAAAAATATTTGTGGGTATGTATGTTTTCATACACATTGTCTGGGTTTGGGGAAAGATTAAAGATATGTTCCACCATAATTTGGATCACTAAATCCCCTGAACTGCAGATGAGCTTACAAAGAGCTGTGAAAATGAATGTGCTTTCCAGCAAACTCTGCTGTTCGGCTCTCTCTCCCTGAAAAACAGCCAAGATGAAAAGCAGAACCAGACTATAATGCTATACTATCCTTGTCTGAGTTTTCTTCCTGTCACATTGCGAAATCAGGGCTTTCAGTCCTAATTCCCACCATCAGTTCATCCACTCAGTCATTCAAATGCTGATGTTTCCAGGGATAGAAAAACAATCTATCTCAAGCACCTAAGTCAAAATTCACCCCAGAACAAAGTCCCTAAAATGATTTAAGAACTATGTTTGGAAGATATGTAAGGATAATGATGCCAGGAGAGTCTGTCCACAACAGTGGGTACATGTCCTAGTTTGGACTGCAACAATTAAGCAATGCAAAAATAAAAAAATCATTGAATAAAAAGTGCATAACATGCAGCACAAATGGCAGTAACAATTGTTACTGCTCCATTTCTCCTCATCCATTATCATTCAGGACAGTAGGCTTTGTTGGTCTAAGCTGGGCTGGAATATTCAACTTCTCGCAGGTCCAACCATGGGACAGCCACCTTCACTTCACCAAGTGAACCAAAATACAACCAATGCTTAAAAATATTTCCTGTGACTACATCTATGTTTCCCTTACTCTGTTTCCTTGACCAACACAAAGGTAATAAACAGTCAACACGACTGCAATACAGGGATCTCTCCAGAGATGAGCATAGGTGGTCTGCAGGACCACTGTGTGTCCCAGGCAGTGGAATTCATGGACAGTGATCTAGGTCATGAAATCAGAGACCTCCTCATTGCCTACATCTCCAGGGATACAAGAGGAGCCCAGATACTGCCTACACATGAAACACTTCCACACGTGTGTCTTAATTGCCTATCAGAGTCCCTGGGGAAGGATTTAGCTGCCGCTAGACCAGCGCCTAGTGCCATGGTAGGCACGATAGCATGTCCTCACTATAGACCCTGCTACACAAGGCTGTGGTTCTCCCGCAAGTCCTGCACTGTGCCAATAGCCTCAGTATCCCAGAGTATTCCCAGCCACAGACTCTTCTGCTTGAATAGCTGAGTCCTGTGTCTGAAATAAAAGTATGCATCTATACCCTACAAATGGGCAGTGTTCATTCAGCTGCAGGGCTCTCCTCAAAGACCAGCATAACACTGACAGCTGCAATTGGACCGTTAACTCAGGCTCTTGTGGATCATGGAGCACAGAAGAGTGCTGTGGATGTGATTTATCTGGATTTCTCCTCAGTAATACCACAGACTCAATGCCATTACTTTGAATATACATTTTTTTCATTCCTAGAAGTTGGGATGACAGCCACCAACACTGTGGAACTACCTTTTGGGAATGTAAGACTTATCTTCATTATTGCTTCCCTTTCATGGCTATGAACCTAGCCCTAACCCTAACCCTAGACATGACCATGGTGAGCATTTGCAGAGTCTAGTTCTACTGTTTTCCTTTCACCTAATCTATTTCCTTACTCATTTGCAAATTATTAACTGATAAGGTGCCTAGCAGCCAAGGCCAGCCTCTTGGCAAATCTCTGTCAAATGATGCATCAGCACCCAGAACAGTCTCCCTTCTTGGTCAGAATACCAAATTCACATTTTTGCCACTGTTTTTCACCAGCCCCTCATTTGGAGAAAATATACTGTGCCTCAAAGCTCTGCACTTCCATGTAGATCCCAAAAGTCATGCCCACCAACACACAACATGCTCACAGACATTTACAGCTAGCTCATTTGTAATGAAAATGTGTCTCTTGTATAAAGAGTTGTTAACAGTACTGTCTTTTGCCTTGACTGTTTCAGAGAGAAAGGAGCTAAAGTGCAGGCTCAGTGCATAGCTTATTTTAGTTTCTTTGTTCCAACAAGCTGCAGTTTTACACCTCCATTTAATTTGCTATCTACAGTGTTCTTGCCATATACAGAAATGCTTTAATATCTTTCTTGGTGCAGTTATTCATTTGAGGCCAGTATAAAACCTCTAAGATCATTTGCTTAGATTTTTAAGTTCCTAAATAGTGTCTCAACTGAATCTCTCTGCTGTATACTTAACTGGTAGTTGTCTATATTCCCTTTATTGTCAGTATATTATTCACTCTTCATACAACCAATCTGAGATTGAACCGTTCTCTTTACTTGGCAATGTTTATTGCTTTATCCAGATTTCAATGCTTCTTTTTCCATTTTCTCCCAACTCCAAAGAAGGATCAGGTCCTTTATTAAGAATATAGTCTCCAAAAACTGGCAAGCTGCTAAATCGTTCACAAACTTGCCTATTTTTTTCAGTGACATTTTGTGCTATCTTTTTTTATCCATATTCTTTACAAGTGACATTTTTTTCTCAGGGTGCTTAACTTCTAATTGCTTAACTTCTGCCCTATTTAAAGTCATCCATTTCTGCTCAGGGTGTAATGTTGAAAATCAGTACCAAAAAAGTCGGTCATCATCAGAAATAAACTTCCAATGGAGGTTTTGTTGGGCATTTTCACCTGCCAATTCCCATTGCTGCTGAAGATTCCCATTGCTGCCAAAGACTCTCTCAGTTCTCCTCATTTCTGGAGACAGGGACCAAGTCTCTTGCCCTTTACCTGCTCCACCTCTGCGCTCAGGTATCATCTTAGGTTGCCTCCTAATGATCAGGTTGCCCAGAGAGGTTGTGGAGTCTCCTCCATGAGACCTTCAAAATCCATCTGGATGGGATCCTGCGCACCCTGCTGTAGGTGTTCCTGCTTGATCAGGGCTTGGACCAGATGGATCCAGAGTTTCCTTCTAACCTCAACACATTCTGTGATCACAGACAGTGATTGCATTAGTCCTGTTCCTACCCCAACCTGACCTTTCTCTGATGTGAACAGCACAATTAAAGCTGCATGCAATACAGTAGGGAAGCCTCCATGGGCAACGAGTAACTCCACAGACCATTAAATTGACACTGAGGATGCTAAGGAAGAGTACCTACAAAGCAGCTTTGCAGGGCAGGCTTATATGCTGATTTAAAGATTTAGATGCCAAATTCCCAAGGAGTTTGAATAAAATCAGGTACTTATCTGCCTTTGAGGATCCCAGTCATTAGCCAAAGGCTGAAATATTAATAGGAATGAATGAGTATCACATAGCACACAATCACTGCCAAGTCCCTGGTAGACAGAATACAGTGTTCCCTAAAGAGCTTAACTGCAACAAAAGAGCTCTAGTAAGAAGCCCTGCCCTTTCAGGAGAATTAGAGCATTCATTGCCCTTTGATGTACTTTGGTGCTCTTTCACATCTAAAATTCTGTAACGTGAATTAGAATATCCTCTTCTACCAGCAGCCAGAGGGTAGCAAAGAAATATCATTGAAAATCTCACATGTATTTCTTGGGATGTCTGTAAAGAGGAAGAGATATAGAATAGCCAGCCCTCTGTCATACTGCAAATACGGCTGAACCCAGCAAAGACTAAAATTTTCTATTTTGTGTCACTCCACACATGGGGTTATTGGCCAGACTGTCTTCCTCCTGGGCTCTTAGCAAGCTCTGTCCGCAGTCCACTACCATGTTGATAGCTGCAAAGTGGAAACAGCACAATGATGCTCTTCCTTCCTCCTCATCCCTTTGGGTTTTGCTTCCCCTCAGATGTGCTTAGGGCAGGGGAAGATAATGAAAACTTTACAGAGGAACCACAACCCAGATAAAGCAATAACAGAGGAAGGGAAGGAGAGGGAGCCAGTGGGTTAAAAAAGAAGAGCTCAGTGGTAGGAAAGGCTGGTGAGAATGGGGATGAAGAAGCTAATGGAGGGGAAAGCTGTCAGGGAATATAGAGATCTGATATCCAGTAGCTAATGGAGGGGAAAGCTGTCAGGGAATATAGAGATCTGATATCCAGTGAAGATGACACGGAAAATCTAGGTAGGGCATGGCTTTCTTTTCCTGATCTGGGCATCACTAGTCCTGAAACAGGAGCTCTGGGGAGGATTCCAGTGCTTGGGTCAGATCTGAAAGGCACCCATTTAAGGAAGAAAAAGCTGAAAAGCAGAGCACTGTATTCCCTTCCCAAGGTGAGGCCCAGAAAAGGAAAAAGAGTGATCTCCCCACAGCAGTCTGAACTGTTGTGTTCTTGGGGCAGAAGACAAGAAGGTTTCTTGTGTGCTGGAAAAGTGGAAGAGGGCCTTTGACCCCCACAAACTTCCCCATGTTTGGGAACCCACCCCAAACATGCGATGGGACATTGGACCAGTAAAGTCCTCTACCCTGGGCGAAGAACTGGCTTTGCTCACAGCCAGCTGTTGTATACCCAGCAGATACTGCAAAAAGCGCCCAAACTTACCCGGCAGGGACAAGAGATCTCCTAAGTGTTTTTACAATCTGCCAATGCTGGCAGGATATCAAGGTCTTAATTCATGAAACTATTCTTCTTCAGGATGTTTGACTGTAGCATCATAGCTCAAATTAACTTAAGTATGTGTTTGACTTCATTGCAAGTGATTTTCCTTCACAGCTGTGTGTAGTAGAGCTAGCAGCACAACACAGGACTGTCCTTTCCAGCTGCTCATGTACCAAGAAAGAGCCTCTTAGATGAAAT